CACCCTTTTAATATGAAAATCTACAACTTGTCTTTAACTCACAATGCAAACCTAGATTTTTGGCAGATTTAGCTGTTTACATCATCTCACTACAGTGGTTTAAACACTGTATTGAAAACACAATCATTACTGATATAAATTTGTTATAAAAGTATTACTGATTGCACTTTAAAACTTAGGTAACTTTATGTTATTAAAGGTAAAGTTTAAACAGTAATGATTTCCTAGTTAATGTCAAGTTGTCATAACAAAGACATTTTGAATAATGTCAACTTTGTATTAAAAGTGTCATAATTTACCGAATGACGCTTTATGACAACAGTCATAACTATTCATGAAGGCTTATTTATGTTCATGACAGGTGTTTATGACAGTGTCATGTCAGTCTTATTCAACCCCCTTCAAATAAAGTGTTACCAGATAATTCTTTTCTTACAAATAGGGTAAATAATAGATTCTGGCCCACAGGTTCTTGTGTCAAGGTTTCCCAGACAAATACCTGGATTCCATTCCAGATTGTTCATCAGTTCAGTCAGCCACCAACAAACCTTCAACAACTTCCTGAATCAATCAGACTCTGTTGGCAGCCTCAGCCTTCTCCCTCAGCCGGCTCCATTGGTGATGTGTTCAAACCTGTTCCACTCTCCTCTGTGTTCCCGGTCATCAAATCAAACAAATCCTCTAAAAAAAAAGCTCATCAGTGCTCTGAGTCAGCCAGGTCTTCCTCTGAACACACTCACTTCTCCCTGGCAGACATTTCCTCTCTGGAGAGTTTGAAAACACACAAGTAAGCATCATTTGCAGCATTTGGTTCAACTCTGCTCACATTACTAACCTCAGCTAACCTGCCTCCATCATCCTGGTTTACTCGGACCTCACATCTCCTGACGCCTTCATCACTGCACTTTTCATAAATTTTGCAAATCTTTAAAAGTTTTTGGTCTCCTGAGAGTATCTCTTCATGTGGGTCAGACAAATATCAAAAACTATAACAGATGGTAAGAAATGTTATGTTACAAAATCAGGACCAATAAAGTAAATATGAACATAGGATAGCAGAACAAATAGCTTTAATAGTAGTAATAATTGTTTAAGTTCTGTTTTCACTTTGACAGATAAAAAGATTTTAATATGTAACAAACTTTATGTCCTTTTAGTACTCACCTGAGAGCTCACGTTGCTGTGGTAACAGATCTAAGACACTCCAGTTCATTCAGGGGGATCCTGAGATATTCCCAGGCTAGAGGGGATTTATAACCCAAATATATTTTGGCCTCAAATGAAGCAACTGAAACATGTTTTGATTAATTTTCAATGTAACGATAATATGATCATAAATTCAACTTATTTTCTCTGTCTATAAGATTTCATCATGTTTTGTCTTTTTAATAGCAGGTTTCTTCTTTGATAACCAGCCTGTTTTTTTTTTGTTTGTTTGTTTGTTTTGTTTTGTTTTTGTTTATGCGATGTTTTCTGTTAATAACTGGATAACATTTGCTTTTAAGCATTTTTCTCTGTTAGAAGCTTTTGTGTAACAATGTCCTTCCCTTTGGTTCTGGAACATAGTGCTGATTCCTGGTATTTTCCCAGTGGCAGAGACCCCACAGATTAAAATAATAATTGTTTCCAGTAACATTTCCACTGACTCCTCCTTCTGATTGCTCACTTCCCCAGAAAACATGCCTCTTTCTCTGACCTAGATTCACTGATCCAAACCAAACTCCTGAACTTTACCAAGACTCAGGTGGTTTAAAATTAATACCTTCTACAATTGCTGTCCTGCCCACGAAACCTTTGTCCAGATTGAGTACCATCAGCAGTCATGTCTGTTTTCATTTCCATCTCCTCTCTGTATCATTCAGTGTTTCATTTATACCACCAGCGCTTCTAGGCTTTCTGGTGTTTCCAGTCAGCCAGTCTATATCAGTTTTTCCATTGGTCTCCTCTTACCAAGTCATCAAACTGTTTCCAAGCAACTGAAGCCCTGTGCATCTATTAAGTCTGAAATATGGAATTATTCCTAAATGTAGCACTCTCTGAAACATCTCAAACTCACTCATCTCCGTCAATGTCAAGCACTTAGAATTCCAAATGTGCTTCAACAACCTGCCCAGCTATATTACAGCAAAACTGTTTCCATTAGAAACAACAGACACATGTAGGTATCATTATACACAGAATTACTGAGCTTACAGGATCCCAGAGTGGTTGGAAAGTAGAACAGATTTCTTTTTAAAACCACAGGGTTCTGTTAGAATAAAATGCTCTTCTCTGATGCAGCTTCTGTGATTTTCTACTTTTGCATTATTCTAACCTAAAACATCCAATCTGCAAAGCCTGATCTGTTTAATTAAAAAATCTTAAACCTATATAGTTTGTATCTTCTTATAATAAGCTAAGTATTATTAAAGTCCCGTAGAAAATTTAGCAAAATTTGGTTAAGGCCAGTTTTTTTAAATTAGTGCAAAAAATTTATTTGCAATGTTGAATACTAATAGAGGATCAAAACTGACATACTTAAAAAATAAAAGCATAAATGTATATATTTTGTTTTTCCTTTCCTTTAAGCATTAAATTAAGTATATGCAGTTGTGAAGACATGGAAAACATGGAAAATACTAAAACTGGACATTAAAAGAAGAAACTTGAAAAAAACGTAATGGTTGTACCTCTGTGTATGTATAGCACTTACAAAGCAAGAAATTATTTACGTTTATGCCTTTAAATTTACACAATTATTCCACTTATTGTGTATTAATGTCAATGATAAACATGTTTGTATGAATACAGCATAGGGCAATAAGAAGTAGGGTTGTCAAAAATAATCAATATCATCACCTCCCTGTAATTGATACTAGCAAAATTAATTATTCAAAGATACTTGTGCATCAAAATTGATGTTAACTGGTATTTTCCTCCAGTCCCAGTGGCACATTTGCCCTAATTATTACATTTCTTCTAGTTACTAAATTCTAGTAGAAGTGCAGCAGTAACACACACTGTCCCTCTCCTTCTCAATGAGCTGCTATTGGGAGTTTTAAACACTGCAAACATGGTGAGCACATCCAGAAAGAAACCCCAGTGACACTCTTTAGCTGACAAGGGAAACACAACATTGTTTAGAGGCACTTTACCTATGACGCAAAGGACAGGAAAAAAACCAACCAAACAATAACACATGCTAGCTGTATCACTAGATAGCTATCTACCTACAGACCCCATCAGCTGTATTCACCATCAGTTGATTCTTTTTTCCAGCATCCAGTGGAAGGTAGGAACTTTGATCCCTCACCCTAAAGCAAGCCAACATGGGCTTGTGCCCTTTTATCGATTTGAAGCTCTTAGGATGTTTTCCCACCTGCTAACCCGGTAGGCTCTGTTTGATTTGGGACAAAATCGCAACATTTGTTCCATTTTCATCTGCTGCAGTTCTCCTTAACACTACATTGTGTCAAACCAACAAAACCCTTTGGAAGACCTCTCCCCCCCATCATCTGTGGTGGTGCTACACTAAAATCCACTAGAGGAAACAACATGAAAATATCTGAAGAAGACAGTAGTTTCAACTACCTTCTTCACAAAATGTAATCAGAAATCGAGTGGAGTCAGACTTCAGTTACAGTTTGTTCACTTTTTTGGTCTGCGCCCAAGTTTGAATACGCATTTACATCTTCCCCAAACAAACCGGACTGTCCAGCCAAACAAACCAGACTTTGATTAAAGTGGACTAAAGTCTGGTGTGAAACTCATGCTTTTCAACACAACATTTTTGCAGACAGTTGTTTCTTTTTAAACTGGGTTAAAAAGAAACATCCCCTGGGTTTTTCAACCTAAAATAAAGTTGGTGTTAAGAGACACCTGCTTCTTATTTGGTATAGCTGCCAGGGAACTCAAAGGAACACACCCTCTGAACAACCACTGGAACTAACACGGTGGAAAAGACTTTTTGATTATAATAACTTAAACATGAAATAACATTAGGTCTGTAAAAAAAACTTTTTATACAAGGTAAAAAATGTGTAGTTTATTGAGCATGCTCACTACCTTCATCAAAAACACAGATTCTTAGCTTTCAGCTATGCTCACACTCTCAAGTCACATTATTTTTGTGTCAACTAGCAGATATAATTGCTGAAGTATAATAGCCAGAAGTTGTTGTAGTCAGCTACCGTACATTGTTTTTGGGATTATCTGAAGCTGAAATCTAAACAAAAATAAACTGCAGAGCCACTGAAATTTTGATTCATCTCATTTACTCTGTGTACTGTTGCCATTGTAAATTCAGCTGGTGACTTTCATACTTTAAAGTCAAACTACAATTAGATCCACACTTCCTAACTAAAATCTGCACATGTGCTTTCCATGTTTTATGTGATATTGTGGGTTTGATGAAGAAATAAAGTGTGTACTCAGGTTCTCTCTGCCTCCAGGCTTAAAGAGGCCCACTGAGGGAGTCTCTACACATTTGATTCTGATGAGCACACAGCAGACCGAACTCCCCTTGCTGTTATCACAGAAACATCATAACCTCAGCTGGCCTTGAGCCTTGTTCTGCATGATCACCATGGGACCAGCCCGTTCATCCTGATTAGCCTTGCTTCACGTTGTGCCAGAGCAGGGCTGCTTACATGCTTCCTTCTTCTATTACAAAGAAATAAGTAAATCCATAAGCTGTGACTCAGGATTAATGTGATTTTTATCTACCTTTAGGGAAATATGAAAATCTTCAAATGATGTTGGTGGAAACCATGGTGACACTTTCAGAGAAGTTATCAACAGAGCATCAGGGATTCAGGGAGCTTTGCTGAGAATTATACGGAGTATTGCAGAGACGACGCAAAAACTAAGCAGAAGGATAGACGAGGGGACATGATTGGTGTTTCCACTTCTTTTGCTTATATGTTTAATCTCTTAATTATGTTCACACTCCTCATGTGGAGGGCAGAGGAGGGTACTACTGAGGGTACAGCAATCTAGGATGTAGCAGAAGAAATTCTTACTGATTAAGTTGTACTTGTAGCACCAGCTGGAGGTCACTGGATGAGAGCACGATTTCCCCTCTGGCTGGATACTGGTCCTGTTGAAAAAAGAAAAGGGAAGAGGTTAAGTACACTCACATTTACTGGTCTTCAACAGTTGATACTAGAAACAAGGGGGCAAATAAGCATTTATACAATTAGCATTGAGAATTAGAAATCATCAATTTCACACTCTTAAATGTGGCTTTCTAGAGGAGATGTAATTTTTCAGTCAGGCAACACTGTTAGCATCACAAAATGCACCATACCATAGTCACCATAGTCCACTTTTCTTAAAGTATTCATTTCTGTTGAACTTTTTCACTTTTAGTCATGTTACAGCCACAAACAATGTGTTTCATTGGCTTCCAATGTGACGACAGGTGGCCAACAAACCTGACTGACAGACCAGCAAACTGTTGTGAAAAGCTTCCTGTTCTCTTGTATCACTTCCCTTCAGAAATTGTTAGGTGGTGCAGTTTCTCTTTCTACAGCTGGAAAAACCACTAGTGATCAAAGAACATTTCTGTCGAGTGGGTAAAAAGTGTGAAAATGGTATCCAAAAGTGTATGGATTCCAGAAATGTTCAGGATGCTGCGATCTGACAAGACGGCAAAGAATTTGAAAAACAGAGATGATTAAGATGTCACATATACCTAGCTATTGTATTTACATTGATTTTCTTCTATTGTTTTCATATTGCTACTGTTGCATTGATCTTACAACATATGTTTTTTACAGTGCCTTACAAAACTATTCAGTGTAATGTATTGTGATGGTGTAGGACTGAAGTGTAACATCAGTAGACGGATTTGAAAAGAGTTAATAATTTAATAAACTGAATATTAGTCACATCTGAGGGAACACAAGAATCAGGGACGAAGGCAACCTGAGAACAACAAACGATCGGACAACAAGTTAACAGAAATACACACATTTAAACACTACAGGGAGCAACTGGAAACAGGTGAGAGCAATCAACAAAAACACACACAGATGTGGAGAAAAATCAAATCAAATCTAAATCTTAAGAACAGATGATTTAAGGACTCTGAATATCTCAAACTTAATATTTTATCATGTTCAAGTAATTTTTCTTTTGAAGAAATATTTTGGATGTGATGTGTTCATCATTTGATGATGTGTTTCTGCAGTCTGCAGCCAGGAGATGTGACACCTGGCCAGAGCGTTTAACGCAGCATTCTGCTTTGTCAGTTTCAATTCAAAATGTATCAGAACACAATGAGTGGCTCATTTACATACACTGTTAAGTTGCAAAAGCACACACCAAGCTGAGCACGAGGAGAGTCCCAGGGCTGAATGTGCAACAAGAACTTTCCAAGAAACTTTGCACTTTGCAAGAATCTTTGACCCCAGACAGATACACATGGCTGCAAGGAAACAGGCCAGCAACTAAATCACCAACCTGGATTTCACCGCAGCTTAAAAAGTTAAATATATTACTTTGCCTCACGGAAAGGCATCTCTATTTCACTTTTTACTCCACTGCTTCTCCAAGAACTCCCAGGCTTACATCATTCATCATTCTTCAAAATGATGGTTCAGAGGTTTCTCTGAGTTTGTTCTGCTTTATCTGTACATTTGGTGATCAAAAACAAGTGTGATCTAAATCCTCACATTCCCTAGGCTGAATTTGTTCTAATAGGCAAAGCACTTACATTTTAATGAAGCATCAAGGACATATGACCTTTGTAATAACATGTAATACTCTGTAGCCTGCGTAGAGACATACATTTTAGCCTACAGGGTGGATCATAATGGACCATGGCAAACGAAAGAAATGGCAAGTTTGTAAAGTTACTTGAAAAATGACTGAGGAAGCAATCCTGTAAAGGATGAGGTAAAGAGCTGCTTGAAAGACATTAACTGACAGTACACAAGGATGGAAGAAAAGAGACAGGAGATTTGTGAGACACTAAATCGGAAGAAATAAAAAATGCAGTTGAAGAAAGTCAGAAGAAGTCATGGCAGAGAAACTGGTCGGGTTTGAATTACAAATAAACATGGGGTTTACTCACTGCTGAGCTACACACTATGCCAGACGGGGCTCATTAGATGGATCAAAGATGGTCTATTCTGGATGCTAAGAATATGAGGAGGGCCTTGAAAATTTTCTGTTTCTCCACAATAACAGGTGTATTAAAACATAGCAAACATACAAATATATGAGATTTGTTTGTTATGATGTAAAGCACTTTGAAATGCCTTGCTGCTGAAATGTGCTATACAAATAAAACTTGATTGATTGATTGATCTTCATATCTTTGATCCGAATATAAAATAACACCATGACAAAAACTTTACTCCATTAGTTATTTTGATCTGTTACCAGGAGTCAGGAAATGTTGTGACAGTTAATATTTTCTTATTTAGTGATTCTAAATTCCACTCAGAGCTGCAAATGCAAACAAATGACTCCTGCACAAAATGCAGATTACTGTAAAGTTTATAGCAATCAACAGTTAAGGCAGAACATCAGGTAGGAATAAAAGAGGGAATAGAAAAGTTTATTCAACGTCATTGGGACTCTGGTTATGAGATACAACTGTACCTTTGAAATTGACTTTAAAACTACCACAAGGTGGAAATAATACACCAAGCGCTTTGTGGAGTTTCTCTCCTATGTCGGGTTTACTCTGGGCTAGTGGTTAATACATACATACATATATATATATATATATATATATATATATATATATATATATATATATATATATATATATAATATCACTGCCCTCTGTTGAGAAGGCAGTGAAAGATTTCTTTCATTCAGTAAAAGATGTTCCTCTGTGCTGACCACACCTGAAATCATAATAGAACTGAACTCCTTTTCATATATTTTCAAGTTCATAGTAAGATGTGTTTGGAAAAGTCAGCCTCCTACAATCAAAAGTTCAACAAATAGTTTCAATGATCCGTTTGTCTGGACTAAAAATGCAAATAAATGTTAGAAGAAATAATCTTCGAGCTGCTGTTATAAATGCTCATGGATCATTCATGTCTTCATTGCTTTTTAGTGAAAAGTGGGTGAAACTAGGCCACGAAATGGTTAGAAGGACTACTGTCAACTCTAGTGCAATTTCTCCAGTCAATCATTCAAGCAGCATGAAGACGGTGCAGGAAAGGTGTGAGGAAGTGAAGTATTGAAAGCACAGGCAATCACTTTGAAAACTTAAGAGAGCCTGAAGTGTGAAGGGAATGGAGGGTGGTGGGACGCTGAAGGATAGACAGTTCAGGGTTAGGCTTCTTTGTTACAGTGGAAAAGTGCCTTGAAGGATTTTCTTCTACAGTGACATTAAGTGTTTCTATAATTAATCTCTGTCAAAGCTGGCATAATGAAACAGGTCTTGTATGGGCGCAGGCAGCAAGGTATCCATTACTGCTCCACAAACCGAATCAAGATCAGCATGACTCACCTCCACTGTGGGATATAGGTAAGTGTGATACTAACGTAAACCTGCTAAGTTGTGTGAGTAAGCAACAAGACCATTACTGTATTGTTGACAAATTGTTTTCTTATCTTATAAGTCCTTGTGTTACAGGCACTGTAGTAAAGTCAGTATTCTGGTTTAGAACATCCACTGAAGAAATACTAAAACTGTTTGCATTGGATATAATTTTAAAAGCTTATCTCAGCTTTTTTACACAGAAGAAAAGCCCATGTCTTGGCAAAAACAACACACTGTCGGTTTATTACCCAGGAACCTCTATCAGATCCTTCATGAGGCGACAGCTGCATGCGCTCTGGTTTCAGCTTGTTTGGGAAGCGGTTTGATGAGTCTCAGGATCTTGTGGCTCTGAAGCCGCCTTGTGCTGAGACAGACATGGCAGTCAGGCTAATCACACATATCAAAGAATCCAGAGCCAATCTATGAACTACAGTAGCATCATTTGTGTTTGACAAGAAACACTATGCTTCTATGTGCCTTTGATTATCAATTGAACTGACTGTTTTTATGAACATGTTATGTTTTGCTGTTTAAGAAAAAGGTCAATCATTCTAGTGTAGCTGAAATGACTTGTGCACATTTATTAAAAGCTTAATTTATCTTTATGTTTTTTTAACCCAGTCCTTTGTTGTCTTTTTGGTAACACTTTATTTGAAGGGGGTTGAATAAGACTGTCATGACACTTTCA